GCGTGCCACCAAACCTTTCGTACAACATCGATGGATGTATGTCTAAAGTATCTGTGTGCACACTGAAGAGCTTACAAGTTTTGGATTTGTGTAGTTGTAGTATTAATTTTGTATTTCATTGATCTTGTGTAGGTGCTTTGGTTTGGCAGAGTTGTGTGTGGGTATATATATATATATATATATACATATACATATATACACACACACATATACATACATATACACATATATATATATATATTTGTATAAAGCCTAACCCAAGTGCATTTTAGAACATAATGTTTAATTAAAGCTGAGCTTATCTCACACACAACACTTCTCAGAGTCGTTTTAAACTCTTGTTTTCTTTCCTATTACCAATAAAGCTTCTATTTAATTTGACATTAAGCTAAATTTCCTGGATCTGAACAGTTCTCTGCTGACTTGCATTTAATCAAAGGAGTTACTGTAAGGCACATTACCCCAAATAAGAATTCAATTACTCATTATGCTGAGGAAATTTCATTCAACAGACTCAAATGAAATCCTATTGAATTAGACTGCGTCAAATCGAATGGAGCTGCCCGTGCTCTGGTAGATCCTCCTCAGCTCTGACAGTGTGGCGGCAGTACGCGCTGGCCGCCCTACAGACACGGCTATTTAAAACAACATTAGCAAGGATGGTGATGTTTCCTCTTCGCCTGCCCCGAGCTACAGCCTGACTTGAGCACAAGTCAACGTTGTTTCCTCTCTGTCGCATCCCGGAGCCAAGAGCTTTACTGACGGGGATGGGCTGCGTTTGACTCCGTCCTGTCAGCAAGTAAGGAAGAGGAGAGTCTAGTGCACACGTACACTATGTGTATTCGAATGTTCCGGTGAGGAAAACTATTGTTTGTGTGCGCGCGCGCACGTATGTGTGTGTGTGTTGAACAAGGCCAGTCATAGCTGACAGCGTCTTTCAAGGGAAGAGAAGGAGGAGGAGGAAGAGAACTCTCTCATTTCTTTTCTTTCTGCTGGAGAAAATGTCAGCATGCATCAGTCTGTTTGGCTACTGGCACAAAATCCAGCCACACACCCACACACTATAACGCACACACAGACATGCCAGGGAGGTAAGGAAGCCGCGAAGAAGGGAAAGCGAGAAGTATCACGTAAGGGGAAAAAAAGGACGAAGGGAGAAGAAAGGAGGGAGGGAGGAGGCCATCTGGTCCTCAGCGTTCACACTCACACTCGCATCACACTAACTGGAGAAATGAGAGAATCGCCTCAGACAACTGTAGACAGGAGCAGGTCTCGAGCTCTTTCTGAAGATCTGATGTTGCTTTTACCAGCTGCTCACATTCACCACTGCAATAATGCTGAAGGGGCCTCGGGGCACTAATGTAACCTCACAGTCCTCACAGGATCTCTTTCTGTCTTACCTCTTTTTTCTTCCCCTTTTTCTGGTCTCCTCCTCAAATCCCCCCCCCCCCTCTTTTTGTTTCTTTTACCAATTGCATGTCTTCCTTCCTCCTCAATCGCCCCTGTTAATTTATTCAAAAACACATTTTCCAGCCCATCCGTCACAGCTATAACCTCTTTACGTGCATCTGATAATTCACGCTCTGCAACAGCTGTGATGCCATCAGAGAAAGAGAGACTACAGCTTTTAGCTAAAGTGGAAATTTAGCACTTATAACAGCTCGATAAGGGCGATCCAAAGTATAGAGGACACCTGTGGAGAGTTTGTTGTTGCGCATCCAAGTTGCAAATAAATATTAATATCATTCAGAGACATAAAAAGATCAATAGATGAAATCTTGATGGAATCTTGAATTACACAAAATATATTCATGAAAACCTACGTGACATACTTCAAACTTCAAATACTGTAAAATGAAAAATCTTTAAGATGCTATTTCCCGTCGAGCGCTATTTTACATCTCGTCCCATCATTCCTGTATTTTAAAACGTGATTACGGCTCCTCTGAGAACACTGATGAAAGCCCTGAAAACTCATCTCTCTTCATCAAAGTGACATATGTAGACGTTCAGCCTATGACAACGATCCCTCCAGGTCTTCAGCATGAGCCGCCATTAGTAGGTGCGAATCTGTGAAAATTGCTCCTCACCTCCAGCTCCACCAACGCATCCAACGCCCACCCGCAGCGAAGGCGGTAGCTGCTCACCTTCTATACAAATGTAGGTTTGATGTATTCTGATAACAATAATTATTCTCAAACCTGAGAAAAGAGAAAAGAGAGAACCACCTACAAGCTGACATACGAGGTAGTGATGTGTTTCATTTATCACTCTCTACTACACAGGAAACACATAAACAGATATAAAATATCATCAGTGTTCGTCTTAATGACATTATCAAGAATAATTATGTGTTGCTAATGCTGGATAATCCTTGCTCTTGATTGCAAGCTAGCAGGATACTAACCTGGCTCAGGTTTGTTACATACGAAACTCTCTGAATCAAGTGATTCTGACGCAGTCATTGCTGCACTGCATGTGAAAAACAGTCAGTCACGGTGGTGACTGCTTATTTCATTCACGATATGTCTACTAGCATGAAATAAACACCATCTGGACCGCTCTTTAAGTAGCCATTAACCGCTTCCCTTCTCTGTCCCTAGATTCCTTCCATACCCACGTACACACAAACCTGTCAGGACTCAGTAGCTGTAGTAAATCGAGGTACCCACAGGGATTAGCAGGGACTCCTCCTTTTGGGAACTCTCACTTCTCACTTACTCTCACTCGCTGTATTTACATGCCGTGTGCGGGTTCGCTGGGTGCATCTGTTTGAATGGGTGCACGTATGAGTGTCATAGTGTGTCACTAGCTTGTGGTTTGGTTTATTTCAGGCTGCGGGAGACAGCGGAGGAGCCCAATCAGTCTATAGAACTATAATTATCATGTCAGTGCCTCTCTGCTACCACAGCTCTGTGTAGGAGGGGTATCACAGCTACAAAGACCTTCTCGGCTAGAGGGTGTTTGTGCATGTGCTCCACGTCAAACCTCGGTGTTTCTCAGCAGCGGATGTGCAAGAACCACCCGGCACTGGCATCACAATTAGATGGAAAAGTAGCTGTGAGCATATCCGCTCTTTTTTTGTTGTTTTTCCACGAGAAGTCCAGTGTGTCAGTGTTGTAGCATGTGGTCCTCCACGTATGAGGGAATGCTACAAAAATGAGACTACTGTGACATAACGTTTTAAAATTTGAAAGTAATATTAGGATTTATGATAGGAAATAGCAAAGGGAATGTTTCAATTCATTTACAGTGATGTGAGTTTGGAGGTTTAGGGGGTGTGGTAAGCTGATGATGGTCCAAATACAGCCAAGCAACATGGTAGGAATATTGATTCCTGGATGTGTCTGGAATCAGCTTTAACAGTAACTAAGATTTCTGCTACTGCCGGACTTGAGCTGCAGAGAGACGAGAGTCAAATCAGCGAATCGGATGATGAAATTCAAATGCATCGCACCTCAACGGTCCACCTGTGTCAGCTAAGTGGCAGTTAGTTGCCATGGTGACAGCATGTTATGTAACTATAACCAAGTGTCAAAAAGTGATGTGAACTGAGTTTGGCACTTCTTTTTCAAAACAGCTTATAATTCCACCTGGTTTAAAACCCCAGAGAGCCCTGATAACTTGCTCTATGCAGTAGAAAGAAAAAAATAAAAATAAAGATTTTTCCTTTAATTTGGTGATAATAAAACCATGCCCGTAGATTAATAATTGTTGGCTCAGCAGTAGGTTAGAGATGAAAAAATGTCAGCGAAATTTTCCAGCTTCTGTAGGTTAATTTGTTCACTTTAGCTCTGCACACTTCAAATGGCGTGAAAAAACCGAAAGCTCGCATTTTGCAAATCAGCCGGTCGTTTTGTGTTTAAATTGTGTTTTTATGTGGGGGCTGGGTGAAAACCTTTGCACATTTTTATGTGGAAGATATAACTGTGACATACTGACATATCCACGCTAATAAATTGTGATTCATCTCTCATCAATTCTTCAAGTCTGTAATAAATACAGTACGGCTGGGGTTTAGTCTAAATAACACTTTGGGCGGGTATATTACATTAAAACTGGTGGCTAGTGAACTGTTAAGATTGCTACTAAACCAATGCTGCCGCTAATATTAGCCTCTTCTTGCGTTAACAGAAGGAGACATTAAATGCCGTGTACTGCCGTCTGCGCTCTCTTCAGTACACTCTGTGATGCGTCTGTGATGCTGCTTTCTCCGTAACATACTCACCATACCCTGGGCAGCAATGAGTGCAGCCAAGGTGCTTCTCCCTGAGGTGCCAGGGGTACAGAGTGACAGACGGACCTCCTGTCCTCCCACCAGAGTTCGGTCCATCTCTATCAGCACAGCTTCTGCCTGCTCGGCGCTCTCATATTCCACCACGCCAAACCCTCGCACTGGACTGCCCTCATCCTGAGCAAGCTAGAAGAAACACACATAAAAAGACAAAGCATTTATTCAGTAAGTCATTCTTTTAGATTTTTCTTCTATGGCTGGGCAGAGAAATGTGGGCTCTAATGTGAAAAATTATTTGAATTTCTTTTTTCCTCGTGTTTGATTCTTCATCTAAATTCCTAGTTGGCCGGGGAACCGGCAACGTCAAGACATTGGTATTGATCACATCCCACAAATTGTATAAACATGATGAATTGAGCTAATTTGTGCTTAAGGAGATCTGAAAAATCCCTATTGACACTTGTAAATGTGGAGCACTACAAAAACCAAAAGAAAAAAAGAAAAGAAAAAGAAAAGAACTCGTATCTCGTGTTTTATTTTAGCTTCTATTTTTTCTTTTTTTTTTACATGTCTTACTGGGGCAGAGTAGTCTTCTTATGCTCCCACTTATTACAAGGATTGCATTCATGCCATTATCAGATTTGTGCCTGATAATGGCATGCCTTTTGCAGATGCTCACCTGCTGGAGTGTCTGATTAAAAGCAGGCGCACTCCTGTCATGTTTGTTGTTCCTGTTAGTTCACAGGAATGCTCCAAATCTACTTAACAGGCTTTCACTAATATACAGTACACCTTTCCACTTCCAGGCATGCCACATTAGCTGTAAGATGTTAGAACTGTCTGCTCACTGGTGGGTTCAAAACATATGGAATAACCTGTCCTGGTTAAATGCACCCAGCAGGCTGGAGCGAGTTCATTCAGGAGAAAGTGGGTCGAGTGACATAAGGGAGAAATGCCACCAGTAGCAAGAGCAATAGTCCAGCATAAAACCCAACATCAACTTCTGAAAACAACGTAAGTTCTGACACTACAAACTAACGTCATCAGCCCTTCAGACTTCAGCAATTATCTGTAGGAATAAAAAATTAATACGCCACCACTGCAGCATTATCGCCAAGAGCTGTTTAATGAAGTAAATGTATTTTAAAGTGGATTTTTTTTTTCAGTACGCAAAAGAAAATTTACTGACTTCTTATCAGCCAGTATCAGCTGCTTACTGCTTGATAGGTGTGCCCCCCTCCCCCTCACCAGAGACCTAAAAATACTTGCATTTACTATCTTTTAATAAATCATCGGGGCAAACAAAGGAGGTCAGACACGTTTTTATATCTGCACGTTTTCGGCACCATCTAGGAATAGCAATATCATTCATCTAGAAGACTGATTGGCAAAACACAATCTTCTCCAGTGGCAGTTATCTGTGCAGCCCAAGCTACCGTCATGATGCACTTTGACTAAGAAAATGAGAAGCCAGCATGAGAGGCTGCAAAGACTGCAAAGTTATCCGAATCTTAATCCGCCCAATGTTTTCAGAGAGTTTTAGACTAACAAATGCACAAATTCATGCATGTATGGGTTTTTTTCTGTGCATGACTGACAGACAGGGAACTGACAGATAACAGTGGAGTGGATGTAGAAGTGCTTCTCTCAGCTTCTTTTGTCAAAAAGGATAGATAAAGAAATGACATGATGTAAAAGATACATCCTTTTGCTCTTCCTACACCGCTTCAGGGATGTGCACATAGACAGAGATACACACAAACACAACCTAACAGTGTCTGTGGAAAAGACAGCTCCAAACTACAATAATCTCCTACTTAGGAGGCGGATCGAATAATGGGCCTTTTTCAGCATATAAACTTGACAGAGCATTATTATCATACATTTATGGTCAGCAGTCAATAAAGACATGTCTCAGCGCTAGAGTGTCCTGCTGATAAAGACTGACTTCTCTGTCAAGAAGGCTGAGTCATTTCCATCTTCTGAGCTCAAGCTAAATAATGCAGGCAGGCTAATAGCTTATAGCTAATGGACTTTATCGGATAATGACTATGTCCACGAAGTAATGGCTTGTGGTTAAAACATACCACTTAACGTATTGTTAGCACTGGTTCGATTCATATGAAATACAGCAGGAATAAAAAGGACAGGAACTCAATTTAACTTCTCTCACATTCTAAAGGATGTGTGATCTGTTAGAGACCATTTGAAGGTTTGGTTTGCTAATACTTGCACCATCGCTGCTAAAGGTGCACAATTAGACACCAAAAAGGCAGTTTTCAAATAAATTCATCTTCATTCCAGACACGCACAAACAAAGAGAATTTCGTGGCACTGTTGGAAGTTAAATGCAGCGTTACTTGTAGTGTCTACAGAATATAAACAGCTGTGTTAAAAAAAAAAAAATCTGCATATTCATAGACTCTGGATATTTCAGCCAAAGAGAAAAGCATATATAATTTCAGGAAGCTGCAACTATATAAATGAACACTTTTATGAGAAACCCTTATCTGATTTCTTATATTAATTTCCATACGGTGAAAGGAAGGTGCACTTTTGCATCCATTCGGTACATATTGTGTGGTTTGCTCCCTCTGAAATGCAGCATTTGTGATAGACTCTAGCCACATCTCCCCACTACTTTAAGCTGCAACCAAGTGATCAGCCAAAACATTACTGACCTTTTTACTCTGAAAAGTAAAGAAGGGGAAAATTGTGCAAAACAAAGCTGAAGAGCTATATTTGTGGTTCTCTTTGCACACAAGGTCGCATAAGAGCGTGTGAGTCATGGAGGCTTTTATATCAATCAACACAGTCTGTATCGCACAGGCCAAATGTATTTTGAAAGGTGCAGACGCTGTGAAATACCAATCATGTAGCAAGCAAAACAGCAGACCAATGTGAATACTGGTCCTTAGCCATAGCGTGAGATTTGTCGTGTTAATTGTGGATTAACGTTATTTTGACCAAGTACTTTTATAGTACATCAGCGCAATGTTGTTAATGAGTGAAGTCAGCTTTGGTTTCTTTTGAGAAAGTAGCATAACTGTGAGGTTGGAGTAATTTCTATGGAAGGATGTAATCTGCGGGCATCTTTCTCACCCTCAACCGGTTGCAGCAGATGGCTGCTCCTCCCTGATCCTGGTTCTACCAGGTTTCTTCCTGTTAAAAAAGGGAGTTTCTTCTTTTCATTGTCACCAAGTGCTTTTGGGGGTTTTCTCTCTATCCAGCTTTGTCACATCAGCATCAGTCTTCTTGGAATTTTTATTTTTTGAATCTCTACTGGAAGCAGTTCTAGATGTGACACCATCACAACACTGGTGGAAAAGCCCTGGCTACTCTCTTATAATGTTGCAATAAACTCTGATCTTGAGGGTATGAAAGTCAATAAATCCAAAGTCCAAGTGACAAATTTCTAATGTGAGAGCAATGAAAAAGTCCTTCAGGGTTAAACAAAGCAGAACGGGACAGAACAACAGAGACATTAATACGAATAATGATCAACGATCAGGCAGCAACAGCAGCGTGGAGCAGCAGGTGGTTTTAATGATACATGTTTGAAGGTAATACTTTCCATGAATTTGCTGCCTGAAATAATGCAATATTAAATACAAGCAGAGCTGGAAAAAAACAAGAAGGATGATCAACAGAAAATTAGCACCTATAATTTCAACTCATTTGGATGCTCATTGATTCAATTATTCTCAACCAAATGTACCAGACATTTACTGCTTTGTACATTTGGATTCGTAGGTTTTCAGCTTGAAATTCTTAGAAACTGGATGTCTGTTTATTTATTTATTTTTTTTTGGGGGGGGGGGGGGTTAGTATTTTCTGACATTTTAAGGTAAACCATTGTTTGAATACTGAAGAAATACATTATTCAGCCTATTTCACCTTCCAGGGCTAATAAAAGGAAAGCTGTTCAGAAAGTTGAGTTAAACATTGGGAAAACATCTTCAGCAATAAATTAAAAATAAAATACAATCAATTCAATTAAATGCAGCTTTTGCTAATGTTTTACCACTGTTCGCCAAGAGGTGAAGATATCTGAGTTTTCTCAAGTCACAGTTTTGACCTCTAAGGGCCAGCATATGAATCGAAGTACATGACTAAGGTCTACACAGAAAACCCCCCCAATATGAATAAGTCTTCTGATGCCTCCACATACAGCATAAAATCAGGGAGGGTATAAGAATTCATACACAAAGGCTTTCACATGAAATGTGAGCAAATCAGAAACTTGATTATTTATTTTCAACTGCTGCAAACAGCTAAGGCATCAGCTAAACTCAGAAGAGTTTCAAACTCTGCATTTACATTGCACATATGTACATACATTACTGTGCAAACGTTTTAGGCAGGTGTAAAAAAAAAATGCTGTTTACAAAGAATGCTTTCAGAAATATAAATGGTTGTTTATTGGCCCCAAACGTATTCTGCAGCAGGACAACAACCAAAACATACAGCCAAAGTCATCAGAAGTACTGGAAGTGATGTTATGGCCCCATAGAGCACTGATCTCAACATCATCGAGTGTGTCTGGGATTACATGAAGAGACAGAAGAATTTGAGGAAGCGTACATCCGCAGAAGATCTGTGGTTAGTTCTCCAAGATGTTTGGAACAACCTACCAGCCAAGTTCCTTTGTTGTTGTCGTGTACCCAGAAGAAGAACTGATGCCGTTTTGAAGGCAAAGGTTGGTCACACCAAATATTGAATGATTTAGATTCATTCACTGCATGTTGTTGAAATAAATAACACTTCCATTTTTGTGCTGTATGTGAGTAGTGAACTGTGAGTAGTTTATGAAATGATTCAATTTTTTCTTTCCTTTCTCTTTGTTGTAAAAATAAAGGAATTTTGAATCAGTGGAAAGCAAACGCATTTGTACTTTTTCAGCACGAACACTGACGCCTGTTAGCTTCAACACTCAATCAAGTGGCCCCTCCACTTCCTCCCACCTCTCATTCGTCTGCTGTTCCCTCCAGCCTGAACAGGGGGATGGAGAGATGGATGGTTGAATGAATGCAGGGAACACAAGAGGAATATGCACGTATGTGTGGAGGAGTAGGTCGATAGGCTATTATCATCAGCATATATTAAGCAAACTGCATGGAAATGACCGGAACCACTTTACCACTTGAGATATGGATGGATGGATGGGGGAGAGAGAGTGGGAGTGA